TGACAGAGAGAGAGACAGCGAGAGAGGGAACACAAGCAGGGAGAGTGGGAGAGGGAGAAGCAGGCTTCCCGCTGAGCAAGGAGCCCGATGTGGGGCTCGATCCCAGGACCCTGGGATCATGACCTGGGCCGAAGGCAGACGCTTAACGACTGAGCCACCCAGGCGCCCCGAGATATGCTAGTTCTTAAGACAGCTAAATTATATAAGGTTATACTGAATATTTTGTATTTAAGTCTTACTTTAGGAATTTGATCATTAAAAAGCATAGCCAGGAAGGTAATTGGTGGATAGGTTGATATCCTCCAGTATCCCTTAAGTACTTGGTAACCTTTTGGTTTTCATTTTTAAACCTTGTGTTCACTGATTTAGACTATATACAACCGGTGTAAGCATGCTGCTGCAAACTCAAGCCCTCCTGAGAACAGCAACATCACAGGATTATATGCACCTGCTACCCCAGTTCCCAGGTATTTGCTTCCTGTTTGTTTGTTTATTTTTAAAAATAGGGTAGAGGAGAAAAAATTGCTTTAAAATTGTCAGTTCTTACCATTTGGATTTTATAAAAGTTGATCCTTACTCATCCCCCCCACCTCACTTCTATCCTTTGCTAGTAGACTTTTAATTACTTTGTATTCTATTTAAATTTAAATCTTAAATAAATTTTAAATATTTATTGGTGCACAAGGCCTTTTATTAGACGCTAAGGAGAAACTTGGAGAAGACCTGATTTTTTTAGCCCTGGTTCTCTCTCTTACTAAGAATGTGACTTCCAATGGCTATTTTTTTTCTCAGCCGTTCTCTGGTCTAAATAAATGAGGCATTCATTTTCTCTTTTACCCGATTTACAGGGTTGTATAAAGGGTAAGGAGATTATTCTGTATGTAGGGTGTTTCTTTCATATTGTGCATTCTTTGAAATCACTATAATTTTATTTTTTATTTTTACTCTTAAAGATTTTATTTTTAAGTAATCTCCATACCCAAAATGGTACTCGAACTCACAGCCCGAAGATCAAGAGTTGCACACTCTTGACTGAGCCAGCCAGGTGCTCCAAAATCATTTATAGTTTTAAACTGAGAATAAATAAAGTTCATATTATCGAAAGGTTATGTTAAATTCTTATCAAACTTCCAAGTAAAAAACTTTAATAAATGTTGACTATAGCTTTTACCAAGGCTTTAAGTAGTGTTTGCATGCTTCTTTATGCAGCTTTTATTATTTTTTTTAATCTAACCTGAATAAGGGTAAATTTGAAATGTAGATGTTACTCTCCTTTGAAGCACATTAAAAATCAGATATAGATCAGCAGCCGTTGTGAATTGCTAGAAGCTCCTGGACTAAATGATATCCTTACAGTCTAGGAAGACTATTAATGGAGGAATCTATGGTCAGATATACATATCTGCAGAAAATTCAAACAATTATATACAAATGCTGGCATCTCTCTCCATGGGAGCTATCCTACAGTGACTGAGTTTTAAGGCTCCAGCTTCAGGAGTTAATCACCTAATGTCTTTTGCCTCCCTATTCCCCCCTCCCTGGAAAATAACCAACGCAACAAATGGGGTGTGTATTTTATTTATTTTCTTTCTTTTTTTCTTTATCTTATTTAATTTATCTTTTTTTTAGGGGGTGTGTATTTTAAAGGTAATCAAATCAGATTTAGTTTCATGATGCTGTCACATTATCAGTCTATTAGGTGAACATTATGCCCTCTTTTTACTCAAGAACTAAAAATACACTGAAAGTTGAAAATTTAAATGGCATTCCTTTGTTTCCCTTCTGTGTGTTTTTTTAGTTTGATAGTCTGCTTTGGATTACTAGTTTTCTGTGAAATTTTAGAAGTTAGAATCAGTAACTTAATATCTGAATGTAAATGAGCTTTGCATGCATAAATTAATTGTATAATTTAAGTAGTCATCATTTATTAATTGGCTATAAATTGTTATTAAACAGCCAGCATCCATGTTTCATGCCATGGAGCTACATTCCCGATGGAATCATGCCAATTTTCTGGAGGGTAGTATATTGGACATCACAATTTTTAACATGGTAAGTGGCAGTGGAGGATAAAAAGTTCTTTATTTTGGCTAAAGTAAAAAGAAAAAAAAAGTATGCTTTCTTCACGAAACTTCATCTTTCAGAATTCAAGTGTTACTTATTTTTTTCTTTAATCTGTATATTCTATTTTCTGCTCATTCAGTTCTCTCCCATCTTAAAAGAAATGAAAAGAAGAAAACAAGGCAAACGAGAAATAGAAAAGAGAAACAAAAAATTTTTCCTGTCACCGTTCCCCTCCAGTTAGTGCCTTCTCTCTTGACCTTCTTCGATTCAGTCTTCTTCTAGTCCCAGTTTTACATGAAACTGCTCTTGCTAAGGTCATCATTGTCTCCTGGTTTTCTTTCTTTCGTCTTAGCCCAACCTGCTGAATTTCCTTCATGGGTTCTATTTCTGTGGCCCATTTCCTAAATGTTGATGTTCCCTAGGGTCCGATCTTTGGTCATCTTGTTACCTGATCCTCCCTGTATAGCTCTAATTATAGCTATAGTCCCAATGTATTCCATATGTTTCTACCCATTACAGCTTTGTCTTCTTGTTTGTTTGTTTGTTTGTTTGTTTAAGAGAAGGGGTGGTGGGAGAGGCAGAGGGAGAGGGAGAGAGAATCTTAAGAAAGCTCCATTCCCAGCGCGGAGCCTATCGTGGGGCTCGATCTCACCACCCCGAGATCATGACTTGAGCCAAAATCAAGAGTCAGAGGCTTGACTGACTGAGCCACCCAGGCGCCCTGAAGCTTTGTCTTTCTGCTGTGCTCCAAACACATTATTCACTACGTACTGAGCATTTTAGATACTCTGCAGGCAACTAAGCTCTAAAACTGAAGCTAGTGAACATCGCATGAGAAAAATCACACAGCAGAGTAGAGTAGCACCCCTGTAAATTCATGTTCATTGAACTCATCTGGGCCCGCAGCATTGCCAGACTTTGCTCCTTTGTGTCTCTAGTCTGCTTGCTCTTCATTCTCCACAGCAAGACTTCAAACCTCAAACCTCTACTGTTCTCTTTGTGGCTCTTTCTCTCTCTTTTATGGCCTAGAATCAGTCACCTTCTCCCTTGCAGAGGACTTTACTTTCTACTTCACAGTGAAAATAGAAGTCATCAGATGGCAGCTCTTCAGCCTCTCGCCAGCACACCGACCAACCCATCCTTTTCCCTTCCTCTCAAAGAATGAGTCACTCTCAAAGTGACTTCAGAGTGAAATCCCTCTTCCTGAAATCTGGACCCATCTCCTTCAGCTCTTGTTACCTATGCCTGCAGCTTCCAGTTTCAACAAAGCATACACAATTCTCTCATCCTTTTAAAAAAAAGAAAGAAAAAAACCAAAAAAATCTCTCAAATGCAGCCCTTTCCGGCTTCCTGGCTTCTAACCTTATTGATCTACTCATCACAGCTTAATTTTTGGAGGGAGACTTTTTTCTTGAAGTATAAATTGGTACAGAAAAGTGACAAATTGTGTTTAGTTTTACTTTTTTCAAAGTGAATACACCTGGATAACCAGCACTCAGGTGGTATTATAGAACATTAACAATGTTTATGCTATATCTAGAAGCTTCCCTCATACCCCTCTCCCAGTCATACCCTCCCAAAGGTAGCCGTGATTCTGACATCCATCCCTATAGATTAGTCTTGCCATTTTTGAGCTTTGTAAACATGGAGTTATATGGTATATATTTTTCTGCATCCCTTTTTTGGCTCACAAATTTGGAAGATTCATCTATGTTGTATTGTGTGTATCAGTATTCTTTTCTTTTTCATTTCTGGAAAATATTCCATGATATGAATATGCCACAGTTTATCCTACCCAGCCAAACTTCTCAAGTGAATTGTCTACATGTACTGTCTTCATTTACTCATTGCTCACTCTTTCCTCAACCCATGGAATCCTGTTTTCTAGCCCCACTTCTCCACTCACATACAAGTCTTCATTGACTTGACTTCTTGGCAGCATTTGATTATTGTTTTCTCTCTCCACTTTGAAACACTTCCTTCTCCTGTTTTCTCCTCCATATGCTCCTTGGTTTTCTCCCATCCCTCTCTGCTGTTCTGTCTCTGTGTCCTTTGCAGGCTCCTCCTCCTCCTGTTTCTCTCCCTCTCCTTTAAAAGATACTCTTTCTCAGGGCTTAGCCTCAGCTCTTTCCTTCTCCTTCTAAATCTCATCTACCGGTGTCAGGTCAGGTCAGTTCCACCCCTCTCTCCTGAATTCTGAAGCTGGATAGCCAACTACTTCCTGTGTGGCTCCTTTGAGATGTGTCCTAAGTACTTCAATTCAGTGGATTCACAGCCAGTCTTCTCGCCTCCTGCTTCTTACCACATCGCCACCCCTTACCCTCTCCCACGTAGTCCTAGTTTTGTTCCCTTTCAGTCCATTCTTCCTGCTGAAGCCTTATCAGTCTTTAGAAGACTTCAATTTGATCATGTCTCCTGTAAAGAAAAAGGTTCCTCGTCTGAATGCAGTCCAAAGGCTTCACAAAGACTTTAAAGGCTTTTTTTTTTTAAGATTCATCATAAGTCCCTCACACTGTTGTACTCTCTGCTGGTTGTTGTGACCAGAAATGTGCTTTGCTCTCTCCAAAATTTAGTATTACAAAAATACTCAGTCATATTAGAGTTTGTTCAGTATTAATAATTACTCAAGATCCTATTTATTTGTGAAAAGAACTACACATTAAAATTGAGATTCATATAATTCTGGTATTTTGAGATTAAACAGACATATCAATTGGTTCTTTAATCGTATTTTTTCCAACCATCTAGGATTCTGTTACCTTTTATGCAGTCATATGCAAGATCAGGAGGGTTTTCCATCACTGGAAAGATCAAAACTGCACTGATTGAGAATGCAATCTACTATGGCACCTATTTGCTGATTTTTGGAGCATTTTTAATTTATGTAGCTGTGAACCCACATTTGCACTTAGAATGGTAAGAAAAGTTGCCTTCTTAACATTGTTTCTGTGTGTATTTGCATTTTTAAAATTTGTTTTTATCTCACATGCGCAGATAAACACATTTCATTGAGAAACATATTGTTATGTGTTTTCTGGATTCCTCAAGAGGAAATCTAAATAATCCCTATTACTAAGAAGAAAAAATGGAATAATATATTTAAATATAAGCTATTAGATGGACTAATGCTTTGTCTAATAGCTCTATGTTAGAAGTATTAACCCTTATGATTTTTTTTAAGTTTTTATTTAAATTCCAGTTAGTTAACATGCAGTGTAATGTTAGTTTCAGGTGTACAATTTTGTATATGGCAAAATAACTAGTTTTCTTTTTTCATTGGAACTTGTGAATATTTTTTTAAAGATTTATTTTAGAGAGAGAGAGCGGGTGCGCACACACACTTGAGAGGGGGTTGGGCAGAGGGAGAGGGAGAGACAGAATCTCAAGCCGACCCCACGCTGAGCTGGAGCCCAGTGCGGGGCTCAGTCTCACAACCCTGAGATCATGACCTGAGCAGAAACCAAGAGTCGGATGCTAACTGCCTGAGCCGCCCAGGTGCTCCAGAACTTGTGAAAATTTTTTCTTTTGTTCTGACTGTAGTTTGAGGGCATATTTCTCTCTGATGTTAGATTCAGACATTATAATAAAATTAAAATCTGTATTATACTTGTGATCTATGTAATATATGTAAAGAGATAGAGCTCAGAAATTTAGGACTAGAGCAGTAATGATAATTCTCACTAGTGCATTCCTGAGATTTGTGTTGGTGTGCCTCAACATAAGTTAAACATTTTTTAGGCTTTAAAATTTTTTCAGGCTTCTCTTGTTAATACTGAGTAAGATAGACCCTAATGAAAAAATTTGGACAAAATACATATATTTTTTTTACCAGGAATTATCCTAAATTCTAATTATAACTGTAGTGGAAGCAGTGTTAAAGTCTATTTCTGCAGTCACGCTCTAACTTCCTCTTAAAACACGCAGATTATCTGCTGTTGCTAAAAGAGTAGCTGAGGCTTGGAAGATATAATTTTTTTCATATAAAATCCTAACCATCCTTTAGGACTGTTTTCTGAAAAGCTATTTAATACTAGTTAGTTCTATTTTACATATTTGTTAGAAAAATTTATCTATCACAGCTCTCTGCTTGTGTTTTCCCTTTCTCAGGAACCAGCTTCAGACAATTGGGATAGCTGCCGCAAATACATGGGGCCTGTTTCTTCTCGTGTTGTTGCTGGGGTACGGTTTGGTAGAAATTCCTCGGTCGTACTGGAACGGAGCAAAAAGAGGTTATCTACTTATGAAAACGTATTTTAAGGCAGCCAAACTGATGACAGAGAAAGCAGATGCAGAAGAGACTTTAGAAGATGTCATGGAGGTAAGCAAGTTCCAACCTTACACTCAGTCATGGTTGTTTTTTTGCTGCTGTGTTAGCACATCGATGGGCTTTACCCTGCATGTTTGGTGATGTGCGGTCCTTCAGAATGTCCCGTCCGTTAGCGTGACTTCTTACTGGCCATTCAGCTTCATGAGATGTCCCCTCCACCTTCCAGCCACCAAAGAGCACGAATATGTTCAACAGTGCAGGGTTATGCTTGTCATCTTGGGATAACTTTGAATAGCGCCCCTCTTTTACTCTTAAAAGACTCCCAGATTAGATGATCAATTAATGGTTATGCTGACATGCCTTCCCTGGTCCTCTAGACTCTTAGACATTCAGCACCCATTTTTTTAAGTGAATGAATAAATGAACAAAAGAATATATGTTAGGATTAAAAAAATCTGATGTTGGCTTTTTTGCATTCATTCCCTACAAAATGTAAGAATGGTAGCAGAAGACATTGATTCAAAATGTAGGAGTAAATCTACAAATAGTAGTCTGTTACATTTCCTCAGCATTCTGATGGCTATTATAACATTTTTCAAAGGAAATAATTTATGTTTGATAATTTTTGTATTTGTATCTATGTTTATTTTTGAAAATTGGAGTTTTTTTTAAAAACGTGAAAATTTATA